GCCGGGTACTCACGCAGAGGGGCGGCGGCCAGGCGGTCCCAGCGGCTCCCCGCGCCACTCTGCGCTGCTGTCGGAAACGGGCCGCGAGCCCACCGCGCGTCCAGCAACTCGGGCTCTGAGAACCGGCCGGTGCCGCAGAGCAGGCAGCGCGCCGCGGGCTGACGTCAGGCCTGCCTAGGCCGCCGTTCCCATGACAACAGGGCCGCCCCAGCGCCTGGCGAGGACCACGGCGGCGTCCTGGCGCCTCCGAGGCCCCGCCCCTGGGCGGCTTTCCCGCAGCTCGGCCTCTAGACCGCCCCTCCGCGGCCCCGCCTCCTACGCCCCTGCCCCACCCCTAGGTGCGCCCCGCGGGACTTGGCCTGTCGGCGGGCACGCGCGGGGACGACTCGCAGCGCCCGGAGCTGGAAGGGAGCGCGGATTGCGCCGGCGCGCGCTGCGCGCCTCAACCTATCGTCGCCCTTACTAGCGAAACAGTGCCTCCGAGCTGTACTGAGCTCGCGGATAAACGCAGGCGGCAGAGGCAGAGCCGCGGGCCGCGGTGGGACCGCCCAGAGTGGCAGACACGAGCGAATGAGGTAATGAAGCGGAGAAACGGACTCGTCACCACTCCCCCGCGCACATGGAATCGGCGCCCGCGAAGTGAGACGGGCTTTGCAGCATGGCGAAGGAAGCGTTCTCCCGCAGACACACTCTCAGGGGTAACAGAGTTTTCCAAGGTTCGCTTAGTGCTGAGTTATCGTTCTGCTGAGAACGAGACAAAAATTAAAACATCATATTTTCTTCACCAAGCGCCCTTTCTTTCACGTAGCTAATTTCTACCGCAGGCGCCATTCCCCCCCCCCCCCCCAGTCGCTCGAGAGGGAAAAATGGAAGACGGTTACTCATCTCGTAAATTAGAGACCATTCTCTGCGGTTAGCGCCGGAAGCTGTTGCTTCATTGTGCGGAGAGTTCCGTATATTTCTTCAAACGCTAGCCTTTCCAGTCTTTGGTATCATGGCACTTTACAAAGCAAAATCTCACCTGTTTTTTAGAATCTTAGGAGGAGACAAAGGTATTATCCAATCCAAGTGTGCCGAGCCGAGCTGTTCAGCGCGCCCGTAACTCTGCTTCCCTTCTAGATTTCCCCCTGGCTTTCACCCCCACTTTCCTCGCTGTGTTTTAGGAACACACACCATTAGAGTATCCTAAATCTACCAAATCATGTCCCTTCTAGCTTTTTTTTTTTTTGCCTTTTTGAAACAAGGTCTCACTATGCAGTTCAGGCTGACCTTGAGCTCACTTCGCAGCCCAGATTGGTTTCGAACTCGCAACCATCCTCCTGCCTCAGCCTCCCGAGTGCTGGGATTACAGGGGTGCGCTACCACGCCCGGCCCTTCTAGCTTTTTAACATCCCCAGTGTAGAGTCAACCATCTCAAGTGCCAGCCCCTGATACCAGCATTAAACCCTTCTCACTGGGGTAATTGTGAGGTTGTTGTAGGCAGCTGAGTCCGATAGAAATATAATAGGCAGACAGACAGGGCCAGGCCCTCCAAGGAGCCAGTGCCAAAGATGGGCTGCCTTGCTACCTTGCAAATGGAGAGACCAGCACTTGCACTGCGGGCCAGACCTCAAGACAAAAGATTAAATAAATGCACCCACATACCTCCTTAGGGGTGGACCCTAGGGATTGATATTCTAAATAGGTAGCGATCACCTTGAAGATTCACTGACCCCACTCCCAACAGGAAAAGCCCTTGTTCTGTATTCATGCCCTCTTGCTACAAGACTGGCTTCCCCACTTGATCTCGATTTAATCAGTTTTACCTGAATGATTATATTTGTAATCTTATTGGCTGACCATAGTTTTGGCCCACCTTGTGATTCCCCCACCTCCAGCACCTTGGACCCGCCTCCCCTCATGTTTTTGCTCTATAAAATTCTTTAGAAAAGACAGGTTCCTGGGCAACCCCCTCAGGCCCGCTTTCTGTCCCTCTCTTGGACAGAAGCTTTCTTTCCCTCAATAAATATATTTTGCTCTTAACTTTCGTTGTTTCTAAAATTCATTCTTTGATTTTAGAGAACATGAACTCGTCCCAGATATCTTTCAGGTTGGGAGTTTCTTTTCCGTATATCAAAATGACCCGTTTGTTCCCCTTTTGATTACCAAATTCCATTTTCTGCATTACTACCAGAATGACCTCATTAAAAATGGCAAGCTAATAATGCCACCTGTCTGAAAATTCTTCCAAGGCTATCTGTAGGAGAAAATCTAATTATTTGCCTGGGATACAAGATGCTCCAGCTCTGGATAGTTTTATTACCTCCTTGGTTCATTTTTATACAATGTCAAATTATGTACACAATTCAATATTGTGCAGTAGTGAATTATGTGTACCACGCAAAACAGTCCACACCCTTTCATGCCCCAGCCCTTGTACATGTCATCCTTACCCCTTTAAAAATCCTTGCTTGTACACTTCTCCTCTTGCCGAATATTGTTCATCCTTGGAATCTTAAGTTGACTAACTTCTTTGAACACTCCTGTTATACCCTATTAGACTGTCGATAGGTGTTCTATGTTTTCATGGTATTGTAAGGGTTCCATCCCTACCATCTGCCACACTGTCAAACAGTACTTCAAGGATATTTGTTTAATGAGTAATAGATGACACACATTTAGCTCCTTCTGGAGCTGTGTGCATCATATTATATACTTTTCATCTGTCCTCGTAACTGCCATTAAGCATCTAGTTTTTGCAAAATGATAAGTGGTTGCTCATTCTTTGTCAGGTGTTATTTTCAGGACACATTCACCAGTCTTATCAGACTAGCTGACGCCTACACCTTTTCCCTTCTCTTGCCTCTATGTAATAGCTTTCAGGGATGTAGTAGGAGGGATGAGGGGGTTGTCAGGGAATATTTCATACCAAAAGTGACATTTATGTAAATAACTAAATAATGTGGAAAGATGTCAAGATTGGTAAGAATTTCTGGACAGTGGAAAAGGATCTATCATTTTTTTCCCTGTCTCTAGGGATAACAGAAGCAATGAGCACATATATAGTACCCAGACCTTGGTTTCTGAACACCATTCTCCACTAAAAGAATCTAGGCCCCTTGGAGAAGTAGCTGATTAAAGAGCAGAAGCAGGGAAAGTACAAAGTCTGAAAGTCTGAAAAATATTGTAACAGAAATTAAGGAAGTTCTCAGAGAAGGATGAAACATCAGAAGGGCACGGAGCCATCTTGAAAAAGTTCCTATTGGCTACATGTGGCCCAATCTGAGCACCAATGTAATAATATTATGTAATGCACTAAATAAAACAATACTTGAGTCAAAACTGAAATAAATGATTATTTTGAAAAATTGAGTAAAAGAAAAGTTTCTCCTTACACTACAGTGCCAACCCAAGCTGGGGATTTAGCTCAGTGGCACAGTGCCTGCCTGGCAAGCATGAGGTCCTGAGTTTGATTCCCAGTATCCCCCTCCCCCAAATGCCCATTATTAAATGTAGAAGGAATGATGAAATGTAGACATATCACCTTTGGCAACTGTCAAGTGAAAATATGCTAAAATCAGTGTGAAAGTTTTAAGATACAATTTTACATAGCCTATTAAATACTAGTTTCAAAGAGAAAAAGTAGATACTTGGCGTTATCTAGCACTGGTGATCAAAATTACCACTAGCATTCATGAGACAAATTAATAGCATGTACCACCTGGAAACAGGCACTTAGAGCACACTTCAGTGATATTGCTGCCAAAAATGCATACTCTGAATCTAAGCTTGAGGAAAGATAGATAACCCAAAATAGAGAGACATTCTGCAAAATTAGGGATCTATATTCCCTTTAGTGTTAAGGTAATGAAAGACAAAGGAACAACTAAAGAACTTTTTTTTGGGTTGAAGGGGAACAAAGAATAGAGAACTGACCACTAAATGGAATATATAATTCTGAATTAGATCCTTTTGCTATCAAGATATACTGGAACAAGTGAAATTTGAATGAGGTCTTAGATTAGATGATTGTTTCTCCCTCCCTCTTTTCCTCCCTGCCTTTCTCTCTCTCTGTCTCTGTGTGTCTGTCTGTGTCTGTGTCTCTGTCTCCCTGTCATGCAGGTGATCAAAGTCAGGGCCCTCTGCATGCTCCCCCACTTAGCTAAACCCTAGATGACAATTTTAACAATTTTTTTAAAGCAGTGTTAATTTCCTGATTTTAATGACTGTACTCTGGCAACTTAGGAGATATCTTTGTTTTTAGAAAGTATACACTGAGAATGGGTAAAAAGAATGTGGTACATACATATACACAGTAGAGTACTACTCAGCCATAAGAAGAATACATTTGAATCATTTTTAGGAAAATGGATACACCTTGAAACCATAATGGTAAATGAAACAAATCAGACATAGAGGGTTAAATATGGATGATTTCTCTTACATGAGGAATCCAAAATATAAATAATTTAAAGAGCAAAATAAACGATGATGGAAAACATCATCTTTGGGAAAATGGGAAGGACCTCTGCAGATGGAATAGATAGGTGAGAAGGGGAAGTAAAAAAGATTAAGATGTGATATGTATATTATGGAGGACTGTCCTTGAAAGAAGAGCAGTTATCTCCATTTTGGTAAACCTGGCCCTGTTTCCATGTACTGATGTGTACAGAGCTGGCTAGGACTTTTCCTTATCCCTTCAATTGGCTTTAAGATATGCAAATCAATCTAGCCAAGGTGCTGATGTGTAGTCCCAGAAGCTAGGAACAGGTCAGTGTTACGCTGCCCGTAACTCCCAGAAAATGTGTGAGCAGGTGGGAGGGAGAGCCATGATCCACCAATGTAGGCTGCAGTAAGCCTCAAAATAAGAGGCTATGATTTCCCAGGGCATAAAAGATTGCACATCAAAGTTGTAGCAACAACCCTAAAACATTAGATATTACCTGGAGTTGTGCTATGCAGATTACTCCTTCTGCATATCCTTCTCTGCATACTGCAGAGGTGATTTCAGACAGCCTCCCTAACCCAGCTCAAGGCACTCACAGTCACTCATCCTTCAACCACTCCCTCCTTCATGAATTTAAAAAAACCTGGGTTCTGCCGTGGGTCGAGGCCTTTGTTCTGGTGAGCCATTGTCCTAGCTGGATTTAGGACCCCCTTGGCTCCCCACAACTACAAATATGCCTTACTGTTTGTGTTCTTGCCATGGGTTGCACTGGAAGTGGTAGATTGGAATTAACTCCCTAGAATTCCAATAACTTTTCCATGGGATTACAAATAAAAATTTGTTTGACTGAGACGAGGAGTAGGAAGGACTCACTATATATATATGTACCA